GTTTCGAACGCAACTTCGATCGCAAATCATTATCCTCATCCCTGAGAAGATGTATTTTAAAAGTCAAAAAATATGCTGTTGTAATTTGAAAAAAAAATCATATTCGATTTTGGGTCTGGCTAATTTCTGATGCAGCAAAAGTAGTGTATTTCTACTCTAGAAAAAAAAATCCAAGTGTAGGTGTGGACCATAACTAATTCATTGGGTTTTGAAGTCTAAGAAAGTTTTGCCACGAAATTTTCCCCTACAATCGACGTAAGTAATGTGTGAATGAACGTGTTTGGAAGCAAAAGGTTGACCACCTTTTAGTTGATGAATTGGAATCAAGACTTGACGTAGAGGACAATAAAGAAGGGAAACTGGTTCACACGGTCCTACCTTTGAGAGACTTGACAAAAGAGCTTAATTGATGTAATAAAAAAGGAAAAAAATTGAACTCAGCTCAATTGAAAATTCGTAGGAACAATTTTCACCTGGGCATAGGGAATGAGGCGAAACGTGCAAAATTCGCTTTAACGGTAGTAAAAGCGGTATTGAAAACAAGCAGCCCGCTCTCTGCAAGACAATTTTTATGCGCAAATTTCGCCTATCCCATTAGAGCTAAACTAATTCCATTCAGAGAAATTGTGTAGTGTCGGAATTCTGCAAAACACTCATTAACAGTGCAAAGAAGCTTACCAAACTCGAATTTTAATTCTATCCGTTCCATTGTGACATTCACTAAAAGAAACAATTTCCAGAACAGTTGGATGACAATTCAAATCCTACTGAAGCAAGTCCCAGGCTTTGTTGAATTTTGCGATTCACAATGGAAACGCATCAAAGAAACTCACAAGTAAAATTTCTCGTTCCAAACAGGATTGAGTTCTTGAGGCACTGTTTTCGTTCTTTTCTTCACTTTCCCTACTTGAACAGTGACATAGGGGTCGCTTGTTCCCGTCTTGTCTTTACCAATTAACCCTTGTGCACATTTAACTGAAACGCAAAATACAAATCTGAATTCTCAACAATTTTAAGCAGACGACCGACGGTAGGAAATATGATGATCTCCTGCAATGGCAGAAATGATGAGCAGCAGCGACTAGTGGCAGCCGAGGAGTATTTAATCGCACCTATACGGGTTAAACAATCAGATGAGTTTTCTGAGACTCAAAATAATTCATTGTCTAATGTTTAATTTATACAATCGCGATAAGATTCTTGAATACGGGATTTTAATCATTGGAACAAGGTGGAAATATCACAGAAGGACTGAGCAAGGAGGCCTAAACTTATTTTGCTCTTCAAATAAAAAAAAATGCTGCGTAGCAGCAGTCAAAATGTATAAATATGAAAGTGTCTGTTCATTATTCAGAGATCTTATTCAGTCTTCAGCGTTGAGAATGCAATTAGTTTTGCTCAAGTGACAATGGTGGCACCATATGGTCAGCTTCAATAAGCTCAGCTCTTTGGGTATTGAACTTGGTGCCAAATGCAACAAAAAACAGTAAAGTGTAGGCTATAATGCAGTCGGTGGATTGTATACATGCAATTCTGACCTCAGTGCCAGCAACTATTATGCGTTGAGCGTCTTACTCCAAATCCTTACAAAATCATATGTAATTTTGACCTCCCATTAGCAGCATCCAACAGTTTGGAGTGTAATTATACAAAAAAGCCTATGAAATGTAGCTGAACTTCAAAGATGAAAGAAAACAGTTAAACTTATAGCACGCTGCTCAAAACGATAAAAATTTTGAATACGAAAACTGGAAGCAAAAGGTACATCTGGCGGAGTGATGTATCGTTTCTTTGTAATGCTTTTTAGTACGTTCCTGTAGGCGTTAAAGACGGGGAGACAAATTGGGGCAAAGCCCAATGAGCACAACATTATGAGGTATGGAACATCAAAGGCACGTCTTTCCATAACTTTGTTTTCAAGAAGAAATAATGCGCTAACTATTACGTAGGTGGACTTCGTATAGTGTAACAACTTCACAAGAACTGCCTTTTAAATTAGGAAATCGAAAGCCCACCTGTGATGGCAATTTTAGCAGACCACTGACTGGTACCATCGAGGATGCTTTTCTGGGCCTGTTGGAGGTTCTGCTTGTGCGCATCCTCGGCTTTGAAGACCTTACCTACAAGATCGAAGAGTTCCGGCTTGTTGCGAATGCGTTGACGCATCAACGACGACATCGCCTGTTTGATGCTCTGAGTGCGATCCTCTGCACCGTGCTTTACTGACTTTTCTGCAGCTCCTGCAATATACCGAAAAAAAATGCAAGGCACCTTAACTGATGCCGCTTTTAACATCTGTAATTGAGCACTGCGAGTTCCTCTACCTTGTTACATCTACCTCGATGTGTGGGATTGTGAGTAACCCAGTATCAAGCTGTCCATCAAAATACAAGAATTGTGCACTTTCATCTACTGTTTAACTGAATCTCGATAATAAAACCGATCGCACTATATTAAGCTAGCTTTGAAAGCGGCTAAACGGATGCAGTGATTCCCCCCTCAGATAAAATATCCCACCTAAAACTTAAGTGTGGTTGAAGATTGGTACCAAAGCGACAGAAGGTTAGCATAAGAAGACTCAAAGTTATGATGCATTATTTATCCTTCTATCCTACAAAGAAATGCGGAAGGGACTACCATCAGTCATAAGGCATCAAGCAAATGGTAATAAGCGAGAGATATCGAGGATTCAGACGACTATCCGAGAGAAATCGTCCAGAAACAATTACCTATTTATACAGGTTTTGAATTCGCATAGAACAGTTTACCTTGAAAAAGGCAAAAATTACAAATGCACTTATCAAGTTATCAACAAATAGGATGTATTTCGAGAGGTCTTTGTGTTGAAAAAAGATCTGCTCAGTTTCTTCTGCATATTGTTTACAAATAGAGTCTAACGAGTTTTTATCGGATCCACAATTCAGCTTCCCGAGTATTCAATGCCCTTTGTCTGTACAAAAAATAAACAAATGTCTACCGAGTTTGCAGCACAAAATTAATGCTTTATGTAAAAAAGTGTTATGCCTGGATTTTATAGCTAAATTAGGCCAAATTTTTCATAAGAAGGGGAGTGGAATTCTAGTATCAATGACTCAGGTGAATAGCTTATCCCAAAAAGCTGAAGGCGCTTATCTGTATCGGGCCTCCAATCATCTACATCGGTTACAAATACTAAGCCAGCAATGAAAGCAGTATTTACGAGTAATCTGAGACAATATAGAAATTTAAAAGACAAAAGTGCTCTTATCCACTGCTAGTCAAATAAAACACAAGATTGGTTATGCTGTAGGACAGCTGTCCTTAGACAAAGTCTCAAAAAATGGACCTTGTTAAAAAGTCAAGACACTTGAATTCAAACCGCTGTTAGTTTTGCAAGCATTGCAGTGTAGTCATTATAAGTTAAGTCTAGGAATGTAAAGTTTCAACTTAAAAGGATATCAAGAATCAGTAACTACACCCTTTTCCACACTCTGTAGGAATAATGTACACAAAATAACACATCATGGAAGTAGAAAATGTCCTCAATCAGTTACAATCAAGAGAATTTAGAACAAAGCCTTACTACATGGCAGCGACCTTTGCAATGAATATTACAAAGTGGGCCCAACCTCCAACATCCAATCATTTCGCCTATGCACATTAGTTGCTAAGATATAGATTTGGTATT